GATGAAAGAACGAGGGAAAAACTGAGGAGAAGAGCAGAAAGGGAAAGAGAGGAGCTTGCCCGAAAGAGAGGAACGATGAACGAAAGGGAGGAGGAATTTGAGCAACAGAGGACGGAGAGGAAAGAGGAAGAAAATAAGGTAGCGGATAAAGGCCAAGGAATTGGGGAGGAGCCCAATGGAAGGGACGAGAGTGGTGATAAGGAGGACTGGGGAGCCGACTGGAGATCCAGAGGCGCTAGACCAAAAGAGTGGAAGGGAAGAGGAAGGGAAGAAAGAGGACGAAATGAGGCGGAGAAGGAGAGAAAAGAGGAAGAATACGAGGAGACATGGTGAAGTTAGGTGGTGAACAAAAGTGGTGTGAAGGGGAGTTAAAGGGACGACAGGTCCTAGGTGTGGGGGATAAAGATGCAAGAGAAAGCAGTTTAGCGGTGAAAAGTGTCCCAAAAGTGGGATGGTATATGAAAGTTAATAGGAAGACAAAGGAACCTAATGATAGAATGAGTGCCTTAGATGCGTCAATTGCAAAAGCTAAATATAGCACGATTTTTTGCTTTTTATTTTTTTCCAAATTCGATGTAAGTTTCTATGATCACCAGTATTATTTTTGTTTTTTATTATGTAACCAAGAAATGAAGGACTGCATAAGGACAGTAAACCTATTAGATAAGGAAAGTAGAGATAAGGAAACATATCTGTGTGTAAAATGTACCAAAGAAGAGTAATGATATTTACGTTATGTATGCGAGATCAAAGCTATTTTTATATTACCAGAGAGAATAATTTAGTTAAGGATAGGTTAGGTATGTTGACTGATTTGGAGATAACGAACTCCGATGTGGAGGGATATTTTTTTATATTGTTTTACTTAAGAAAGGTATATTTCAGAGTTAGTAGGTTAGGGTATAAGGATTTACACTGGGTGAGGGGTATATTTTTGTATAAATGTATAACGGGGCTAAGCTATGTAAGATATTTAGTAGATAAGAACAGGCGTTGGACGAGTGCAGCGTCCGGGGATGGATGTGTGAGAGTGAGAAAGGAATGGAGGTATGGGTGTGCGATGGAGAGGATACACATGGGAGGTATGAGAGAGTGTTTAGGAAAGAGGCGGTGGAAAAGGGCCCCTCTTAAGCGGAAAAATGCTCTGAGAGGGAGATGAAGTGCGGAGTGTGGAACGCGAGGAGTGTAAGGAATAAAAGAGAGGAGATAAGGAGAGTGGGGGAGTCTTTCGATGTGTTGGCAATCACGGAAACGTGGTTAAGAGTGGAGGATGTTTTTCTAATTCCGGTTTGGCATATTATTAGAAAAGATGGTAATATTAATCATGTACTGTGGATGTGTGAGAAGTATGGGAGAGAGAGGGAAGGTTTTGTGAGGAGGATGAGGGCGTGCAAGCTGAGCGGCGAGGAAAATGACTTTTATACAAGCGAGGAGATGGGCGGAGCGAAACCTCTGAGACTGATTGGAGGCTTTTTAAAAAAATGCGGGATAAAATTATAAGATTTAATATGAGTGGCAATATAGACATATATAAGACTGATGTTATTAACAATAGATGGCGTTACTACTATGTTAGGGTGAGTGAATGTGGTGTGAGGGCGCTGCACATAGCCAGTGATGTAATGTAACATTGATGTACGGGCAAATTGTGTCTCAGTTGAGACCAAAAGCCCTCTTCTGGGTTGGCAAGATGGCGACGATGGTATGAGGAGAGTGATTGCCGACGTGCCTAAGTTTTTTGTATTATTTTGCGTTTTTTTTGAGTTGACGAGGATAAGGGGAGGAGCAAGGGAGGTGGTAAAGTTGGATAATTGATCTGACATATAAAGGAAGGTGAGAGGACAACAAATAGTTGAGTAAAAGGTGTATGAAAATAAAGGCTTCCCCTGGTTGGCCTAGAACCGGGGGAAAGATAGAAGGTGAGGAGAAGGCGAAGGGGGGGCGAGTAGAGAAGAGAGTAAGGAGTAGAGAGAGAAGAAGGAAATGTGCGGAAAGGGAAAGGATGAGCAGTAGGGAACGAGAAAGTGAAGAGGAGGATGGAGGTGAGATGAAAAGGGAAGAAGGTAAAGCTACGGAGGAGAAGATAGAGGGAGAAGGCGAAAAAGTAGTGATAGAAGAGTTGAAGAAGAACTGGGCGCTAGAATATTTGGCGGAAGAGGAAGACGTGGTAATTAGCGCGTCAATGAAAGAATAGGAGGAGGAAAGAAGTAGAGAAAAAAGGGTAGGAGAAAGGCGAGAAGAGAAAATGGAAACGGAGGAGTGTAGGAAGAGGAGTAGAGACAGGGATATGGAAGAGGAACAGCAGGATGGTTTAGGCGGCAAGGAGAAGAAGAGAATCAGGGAAATTAAGAGTAATGAAGGTGGCGTGGATAGTGAGATATCGGCCAATGGGAGCAGAGAACAGGAGACGGCTAGGGGAATGGTAGAAGACAGGTTGGTAGCAATGGACACGAGGGTGACAGTGGCGCCCGAGAAAGGGAAGCGGTGGCGTGATGAAGCGAAAAGAGACGCTGATGCGATCGGCCATTGTGAAAGTGAACGTGGTAAGTGTAGGACGATAGAAGCGAACGAGAAGTGTGTAGACGAAAGAAGGAAGGACAAAGAAAAGTGCGAGGACACTGAAGGTATTAAAAACCTAGAATATTATGGGGATAAGGGAATAAGTAGGCTAAGTAAAGACAATGTTGCGATTAAGAACACGGGGGTAAGCGAATGTGGGGAAAAAAGGGACAAAGACAATGGCGGAAAGCAGGACCACGTGGCGGAGAAGATTACAAAAGTAATCGAGAAAAGAGACAGGGATGATGTGAGGGGAAAAAATAGGGAATGGGAAACGGGTTTTTATGAGGAGGATGTGGATCGGGAAGAATATGTGGTGTGCGTAGTGCTGAGGAATAAAGGGCAAATGGCTAATAAGGGGAGGGGTAATATGAGACCAACAAAGCGGAACAATCTCATTAAAATATATAGGTTAGTACAAGGGGTAGGAGTAAAGATCCATACAATTCGCATGAT